CAGAGCGTCCCCCTCACAACAGCCCTATGAGGCAGGTTTTGGTGCAAACGCAAGCCCAACTCCCTCTGCCCACCTGTGGCCTCTCTGGCTCAGAGAGGCTGAGTGACGGCCCAGAGTCACACAGCAGCAAACAGCGGAGCTGGGACTTGGACCCGTGCTCTATCCACTACACCCCGCTGCCGCTCGTGGAGAAGAGGCAGGGTAGTGTAATGGAGAGAGTGCGGGCCGAGTGGCAGACAGGGCCTTCTGCTGTCACGGTGTCGTCTTAGGCTCCCTGAGGTGGTGGCCATGGTGGCAGGTCCGGCTCTCGGCTGGGCCTGGCCTTCCACTTGGCGGGGTGGGCAGCAGGCTTGGGAGGTGGGCAGAGTCCCCAGAGGGCTTACTGATGTCTTGTGCAACCTTGTGCTGTCACCACTCCGGCTGGAGGGGGACGGAGGCTGGTGGGGGTCCTGCCTGTGGGATGCTCCCCCACCCTGGCCCCCGGCTGCAGCCCCCTCCTCTGATACCCAGCTGCTGTCTACTGTCTCCAGTGGAAGCTGATGCAGGGGCTTCCGATGGGCCACACTGCYGGGTGACAGTCCCTGCGGACCCTGGAGGTGAGCTGGGCTTGGGCAGATCCCAGGGCTGGGGGGACCGAGGGGTGGGGTTCATCTCCGGCTCTGCCTCTGCCCCCTGTGTGGTCTGACACCCCTTCCCTGGGTGTCAGTTTCTTCAGCTTCAATTTGGGACAAGACCAGAGTTTTCTAGGGGATATTTGAATCCCCTGAAATGCTGCAAAATCCCAAGTCTGGACATCTCTTTCTTGTAAGAGGGATGATTGCTTTGGGGGGGACTCTCACGGGGGTCATGGTCGACAAGCATTCATAAAAATAGAAATAACCAAAAACCAAGACAAAACACTGGTCTTTCATGAAAGGCAAAGCAAAGATGAGGGGCTGTTTCAAGTTCAGGGGGGCTGGAGAGACAAGAGAGATTTCAAGAGTCCTGCAGGCCTGCTGGGTGTACATCTATCATCCCAGCGACTCAGGAGGCTGAGGCAGGAGGATTGCAAGTTTGAGGCCAGCCTCAGTGACTTAGCAGGGCCCTGAGCAAATTTTAGTGAGACCCTGTCTCGAAAATGAAAAATATAAAGGGCTGGGGATTTGGCTCAGTGGTAAAGCGCCCCTGGGTTAAATCCCTGGTACCAAAAACAAAAAAAAATGTCCTGCAGGCCCTGCATCCCATACCCTGTGCTGGCCTGGGACAGGGACAATCAGTGGAATGTGATCGTGGATAGTTCATTAGGGAATAATGTCTTATCAATGTCAAGTTTCTGGATTGTGACGGCTGCGGCATGGTCACTTATGGGGATATCGTAGTTCTTGGCGGTCCCCCTGCAGGGCTGAGGGAGAAGGGCCACACCCCTGCAGGAGGGGAGAGACTGAACGGGAGCCCATCACTACGATCATACCCGGGTTCTCCTTGTACCATTTTTTTTTTTTTGCCACGTTTCTGGAAATTTAAAATGGTCTTAAAACACAAAGCTGAGAAGATAAATAGACCCAGGTCAGAGTTTGCTCTCCAGGGACCATCTGTTGTTGGACCACATGAAAAAATTAGAATTCCGTCAATTCTTAAGCACTGGGGGACAGTGCAGAACATCTGGATTTCTGGTTCTTGCCAAGTGAGCTCTGTGGCCACCCAGGGTGGTGCCCGGGGCAGCTGTGTCCTGGCTGGGCTTTCCCACAGACGTGGGGTCGGAGGTTCCTGAACCTTCCTCCCCCTGGCCAGTCTGCAGATATGTGGGACTCGGGCTTGCACAGGACTGTCCGTCATGGGGGACAGTGCGTGACTGCCTGAGCCTTCCCACTGCATGCAGCACCCCAGGTCTGTGGCATTTGGAAAGGACAGTCACCTCCATGCATGCCTGTGGTCCCCACAGTGGCCCTGCAGGGTAAGTGACAGGGGTCATTGCACAGACACAGACATGGAGGCTCAGGGGGGTGAGGGCCCTGCTCGGGGTCACAGGCCAAGTGCGGCTGGGACAACTGACTAGAACTGGAGTGTTCTTTGCCTTCTGGAAAGCAAACCAATGTGTCGGACGTCCCTAGGGGGTGTCTGAAGCACCATGAGGACCCTGTGAGTGCCCCCAGACTTGTCCCTCCGTTTCTCAAGGGCTCAGCATGGCCTCTTTGCAGAGGTAAGGGGCTGATGGTTTCTGGTCATTAACAAAAATTAGCCTCCGTATTTGTTCTGCAGGGGCTCAGGGCCTGGGGAAGATGGCAACCAGGAAGACCCGCCCCCTGGAAGAAGCTGGAGTCAGGAGAACCTGCAGGGTGGAGTGGAGTGGGCAGCCCAGAGGGGCAGGAAAGGGCAGATATTGAGATAAAGAAGATAGGGCGAAGGATACTTCTGAAGACTCCATACGTCCACACACCCTCTCCCACTGGGGTTAACAAAACCCATTTTAGACATGAGGAAATGGAGGCCCAGAGAGGGTAAGAAGATTGTCTGGAGTCTCCAGCCAAGGAGGGCACATATGGAGTAGGAACCCAGGACTGTTTTACCCCCAAGTCCAGGCTCCCCTCTGGGGACAGGGAAAGGAAACAAYAAGCATCTTAAATAGCTCTGTGCCAGCATGATGCTAGGGTCTCCACCTCCATCTTATCACTAGTGCCATCCCTATCAGCCTCAAAGGTAAAATGAGGCTCRGAGAAGTGAAGCAACATGCCTGAGGCCACACAGCCAGTTCATCTCTCAGTGGCCGTTTCACAGCCCTGCTCATACTCAGTGACAGGGAACTCACTGCCCTGTGGACAGCCTTGTTGTCCCTGAACAATTCAGAATGTTCTAGAATTATTCTCTTTCCATGTACACTCCTTCCTACTAGGCCAATTATACCTCTTCTGTTCCCTGGGAGCCTGGGCGGTCATCTGCCTTGGTCCCTCCTGGACACTGGGTTTCCGCTCACCAGGCTGCAGGCTCATGTGCGCCCTGGGGTGATTCTGGGGATCCCGACTCCGCCCTCCCTGCACTCACGGGCTCTGAGCTCGCTGGGCACACTTCCCACAATGCACCAGGACAGACTTGCAGGCCAGGTGGCCAGACACCTGCCAGGTCCCCAGCCTTCCGGGGGCAGTGTAAACCCTGGAACCCCCCGGGCKGGTCAGCACCCCTCCTGACCTCCCCAGGAGGACATCCCGACACCCTGGCGGGTACCTCCTGACAGGCAGAGGCTAGAGCCTCCTCTCCTACGTGGTCTTCCAGCTAACTGGACAGATCCAGACCAAAGYCTGGGTTCAACATGGGCTCAGGGACTCAAAGTGGCTTCCTGGGTCACCCCTCTGTCGTCTCAGGGCTCACAAGCCACCTACTCCTGAGCCGACACCAGCCTGAGATTCACAGGACTCACCCAGACCCCTACGGAGACCTGGAGGGCCCTGTATTTGTCCCCAGTCCCCAATCCTGCCCCACCCAGGGGGGAGGAGCCTCCAGGGTCTAAGGGCCACTAGGCCTCAGCTCTCTTGTGGGATCCCTTGGCCTCTGGGGGCTTCCGGCTCCCCAGAGACATCCACAGCCCCTCCCCAGTTACGAGGCTTCTCCTGGGCAGGAAGAAGGGACGCAGAGATGGAGAGATGCTCCCCAAGCCACTGGGATCCCCCACAGCTCCCCACAGCTCCTCTTTTGTCTCCTGCCCTGGTTTTCTCCTCTGCCTTCAACACTCTTGAGGATTTGGCCTCTCTGCTGCCTTTGGGCCCTCCCGTCTCTGCTCAGAGGCTCCGTGGCCTGTGATTCACCTGGGCTGGCTGCTGGGCTTCCCGTCCATCTCTCTGTGCATCTGCCTTTTCCAGGGTCTCTCTGCACCTGTGCCRACCTCTTTGGCTGGTTTGTGATGCTGTCAAGCCAGCGATTCTGGACATTTTCTCTCCCGGGGCCCCTGCCCTTCCCACTCCTTCTCCAAACTCTCTGGAACCTTCATTGCCCATCCACTCAGGCCYATGCCTTCCCGCGGCTCTTGCGGAACAGATGACTCGCCCAGATGCTTCCCCCAAGGATGCTCGCCTTGCCAACCACCTCATCCCAGAGGTCAGAGCCAGGGCCGAGGGGCTGTGACCATCTCTTGAGGTCTCATGTGACCCTGAGTTMCCAAGAGAGGGTACTTAGGACCTTCCGTGGTTGCTCATTCAGACCCCAGGACCTTTGCACTGCTGTTCCTCTGTCATGGATGACGTTTTCAGTGTTCCACTTTTACAAAGCCCCTCAGAGAGGCCTTCCCTGAGCAGCTGAGTCCTGACCCCCTTCCTCAGGGCCTCTTTCTCACTACAATGGTCTGTCTTCATCTAATAAATCATTATCTATAATAAAGTCACCTATTTGTTCCTGGCAGCCCTGTCTCTGGAGGGGGGGGGTGACAGGCTGGCTCTTCCTCACCCGGCTCAGCTCACATGTGGCCTCCACAAGAGGCCGTCCCTAACCTCTCCACACCCCATCCTTGTGTCCTGCTGGTTTTCTTCATACACCTGTCACTCCGGGCGTGTCCACGCGGCCTCCCTCTCTCAGTTCACCACAGGCTCCGCAGGACTGGCCTTGCCTGCCTCAGCCACTGCGGTAGCCCCAGCACCCACCACGGGGGGCCAGGAGCTCACTAAGTGTCCGCAAAGATTGTCACCAGATGGATTCTYTCTCATGCCTGATGAGAAAGCTTTGGTGTTTGGCTTTTGAGTAATCCAAGTCACTAGAAGGTACGTTCCACGGGACGAGGGGTCACTTTGAAGTGACTGTGACAAGGTTGACTTTCTGCACTGTGCCAGCCCCAAGGTTCAGAGCATTGCCAGGTGCCCAGGAGGCTCACTGTAAGTTTCCTGGGGTGAAGGGACGGCCTTCTCATTGAGGCCTGAGCTTCAGAGAGCCCAGAGCCCAGGAMCAAGGTCCCTGAGCTCCTTTGGCCTCATGAAGGGGACACTCAGGCATCGCCCTCCCTGTGGGGGTGGGAACCAGCCCACTGTGGGGCTGCAGCTCACCTGACAGCAGCATGGGGTCTTTGTCCACGGACTTGCGCACCTGGTCAGACTCCCCTGTCAGGGAGCTTTCGTCGATCTTGAGGTCATTGCCCTGGATGAAGAGGCCGTCTGCAGGGAGGAGGTCACCTGGTGGAGGAAGGGCAGGGGAGTTGGCCGGCCGTCTCAGGTGGTCAGAGAGACTGGGACAGTCCATGGTGCGGGAARGTTCTCTGCTGAGGACCGGAGGCCTAGAGCTCCCGGGTTGCCTGAACCAAGATGGCGCCCACCAGAGGCCAAGGCGTAGCTCAGGACTGGGGCCAAGTGAATGGATGAGACCAGTCTGACTTGGGTAGGCTGAGGGGATCCCCAACCAAGGCACCTCATCCGGGGAATCAAGCCCTCTCAGCTGAGGGAGGAGGGGCGCTCCTCTCCCTGCCCCATGGTCTGCCTCTACTTACCCAGAACATATCTAGTCAGACTCTCTTTGGTGGCTCCTGCCCACTTTCCCGCTGGTAGTATTATAGGACCAGAATATTTGCTCATCTACTCCTGCTTCCTCTATCACCTCCGCTAGCCAGCGACCTTCCACCATAGCCAAACCAGGGATGGGAAATAGATCTCATCTCACAAACCCATTCGGAGTAGAAATGGTCCTTGGAATGTTGTGTTGAGAAGGCTTCAGAGCTGTCCCCAGTCTTTGGGCTGTGATCACTTGGTAATATCTGCTACGGGTGGGAGTTTGGACAGAAGGGATGCGTGTGCTAAGTACTTGCCATTTCTGATCTAAATGGATTCTGGGGTCCCATCTCTTCTAGGATTTCAAGGACCCTGGAGCACAGCCTGGCTTGGGATGTGTTCAGGGACCCTGCCCTGGTTCAGCCTCTCTCTGCCTCTGCCTGTCCTGTCCCACCTCTGTCCAGACTCCGGCTTTTGAATGTGGCTCACCGTATTTGATCTGGGCGATGTCCCCGACCACGATCTCAGCCACGGGGATCTGGACCACCTGGCCAGCCCGGACCACCGTGAACTTCTGCTCCTGCTCAATGCGACTCTGCAGGCCCCGGAACTGTTTCTCTTTGCTCCAGTCATTGAAGGCTGTGACCAGGACCACGCAGATGACGGACAGGAGGATGGCKGCCCCCTCGATCCAACCTGCTTCTGCCTCTCCTTCATCCTCAGCCCCGGCCTGGGCCGTGGCACATCCTGCAGGGAGAGCAGAAGGGGTCAGCAAGGTAGAAAGGCCCCCCTGGCCTGGGTTTAAAGTCCAGCTCAAGTAACAAATATTAATAACCAGGTGACAATAATCCATTTGTTCAGCGGGTGCCAAGCTGGGGACCAAGAGCTTCCTGTGGCTCAAATCATAAAAGACTCTGMCCATTTCACTGAGGTGGAAGACGAGGGTTCTCGCCCAAGCTAGGAAGGGCAGGTAGGGAGCTCAGAAGTGACCTCAGGCAGTGTGGCTCAGGGCCCATTATCTCAGCCACTTCAGTTTCCTGCCTCCCCTCTCCAAACCTCAGCTTTCTCCTCTGTAAAATGGGAARCATATTCTTTATCTCAGCGGCCTACTGTGAAGGTTGAAATTTAATGAAGGTTGAGATCTTGCCCGGCCTGGCACAGACGGGTCCCTCTCCTCCACTTACATCCAAAATGGGGCCTAATTTATGAGAAAAGTGAAAAAAGTGTGGCTGGGAGAGAAGGAAGGCAACCAGTATTTGCCAAAAAAGGGTAGTTTTGTTCATATCCCCTCTTTTTGATCAGGCCCAGGCAGCAGGGACAGCAGGATGGTGGTGGGGTGAGGGGATAAGAACCACAGTCCTGGGCCTGCCTTCCAGTGCTCTGAGTGACCTTGGGTGACCCTGGGTGAGTCTGTCCTCCCTTGGCTTCAGGTGCCTCATCTGGGCTCAGCACACGGGGCTTCTCACCCAGCCCCTGTTGGATGACAGCTGAGGACGGGCCCCACTGCACAGTGAGGACTCCGACTCAGGCTGCAGGCTGCCTGTTTGACCCGCAGTGACCCAGAATCCCATACCCTGGTACCATGAACCTCCAAGCTGGGCCTTCTGATTGCTCGAGGGCTGCTAGGCCCATGTGATGAACAGAGAAAGAAAACACAGGGTGCATCAAACCCAGGGCCTCAGACTTGGGTGCTCAATCCCTGCTGTGCTGAGGTGAAGTCTTCCTATCCTTTGCTGGCCTGTACCCCCAAAGGATCCCGAGAGCGAGAGGTGTTCCCCCTTGTGCAGATGAAGAACATGAGGCCCAGAGAGGTGAGGTCCCACGGCCAGCTGAGATCAGGCCTTTTTATCCACTGGGAGTTGGAGAGCAGCCGTCTCCATGGAAGGGCCCCTGAGCAGTGTCTGACCATCCACCCCCCGAGGAGCTCAGAGGGGTTCCCTTCCATGGGACCTAGACAGGCAGTGGGGAAATCTGCAAGGCCTACGGTGTGCCAAACATTGACTTTTACCCTCAAGCTGACTGAGAGAAGAACGGTGGTTCAGAGAAGAACAGCAACTCACTTGGGTACATGCAGCAGATCTGGGATTTGCAACCAGGACCTGGAATCTGACATCAGACCAGGCCTGCCCACTGCCTCTGTCTGCCACATACGGGCCTTCCAAGGGAAGGTTACTAAAGACTCATGGCTGACGGTCTAGAAGCCCAGTTTGGTCCCAAAGAACAGATAACAGTAGTTTCAAGAGACCCTAACAGAAGTTTCTGGAAAACCAGGGGTTAGAAGCAATGTGATAAGAAGGCCACATGGGAGTGTTTGTGGCACTCTGCTCATGGGAGAGTTGGGGTTAGGCTGGCAGCCCCRAGCTCATGAAGGCAAAGCATCACTGTGGCCGAGCAACATGTGCTGCTGGAAAATTCCAGGTCTCAGGCTGCACCAGCTGCTTCCTGCAGGCCAGTCAATTATGTCACCATGTGGGGTTCTCAAAGCTACTTCTTCTCCCCCTTGGGAGTTTCAGGCATTTCCAATAACTTTAAACTGCTCAACCAGCCCAGGCCTTGGGGGTAAGGTCATCACCGTTGTGCTAATGAGAACTGAYGCTGGGCCAGCCCCGAGTTTGAATCCTAGCTGCACCACTTAGCTGCAGCATRGAATCCTATATTCTTCTCATATGCAAAATGAGGGTGATGATGGGTGTTCCCTCAAAAGGTGGTTGAGAGGGGGCTGGGGTTGTGGCTCAGTAGCAGAGCGCTCGCCTAGCACATGCAAGGCCCTGGGTTCGATCCTCAGCACCACATAAAAATAAATAAAATAAAGTTATTGTGTCCAACTACAAGTACAAAAAATAAATATTCTTAAAAAAAGAGCTGGAATGTGGCTCAGTGGTTAAGTACCCCTGGGTTCCATCCCCAGTACCAACAAACAAACAAAACATGAGAAACACAGATGCTCCTTGCAGGATGAAGCTCAGCACACTTGGCCCTCTATATCGGTGAGTTCCAACCAACCAGAAGGAAAAATAATAAAGAAAAATAATTTGTCCTGTACTAGCATGCATAGTTTTTTTCGTTATTATTCCCTAAACAATACAGTATAACAACTATTCACCTAGCACTTACATTTTATTAGGTACCGTAAGTCATTGAGAGACAATTTAAARTATATGGGAYAATGTGTGTATGGATTTTGGGCCAGTACCAGGACACTGTATAGAAGAGACTTTGCATCCTCGGGTTTGGTGGCCACATGGGTCCTGGAACCAATCTCCCATGGATCCTGAGGGGCTCCTATATTGAAATTCATTATTTTGGAGCTGAAGGGTGGACGGGGGAGTCGACATTATAGATAGAAGCCTGCTGCTTTGTTTCTCAGGACGTCTGGCGCCTGCCGCCTTTACGTGCTCTGTGATGGAGAGGCCGTATCCCCTGTCCTGTGCTTCCTCCATGGGCCCCCGTGACAGCAGTTACTGGAGGATTCGGACGCTCCCTGATGAGGCGGTAGAGAGCTTGTGGGCTCTGGAATGGGAAAGTCCTGGCTTCAGTCCCGAGCTGTAACGTGTGACTTGGCCTTTCTGAGCCCCGGTTTGGAAAGCTGTAAAGTGGGAWGGCCCCAGGGGCTTGGGAACCCAGGGCCGACCACATGGTGGACTGATAAATGTCGGTCCTCCCGTTTCCATGATCCCCTCCTCTTGAACTGGCTCACAGAAGCCCAGGGCGTGGTGGTGGGGTCTGCACCCTGTTCCCTCAGCTCTCAGCCCTGTCTGCCGCCCTTGCTGATTCTATATTGAGGTGCCTCTGGGCCTTGAAGGGCACTCGCTCGGCCAGCAAAGATGGATTAGCTTCATCTCCTTTTGAGAACTGTCTGATGGTCCCATGGTGCCTCGGGACAGCCAGAAAGTAGATCCCTGGGGTGGGCCTTCAGCCACTCAGGAGCTGGAGGACCCTGGAAGCGACCCCTGTGCTCTGGTGCAAATAGGGTGAGAAGAGAAAGGAGGGAAGAGGCGGGTAGGCAGGTCCTGTGGAGTCTCCCCTGGGCCCTTGGACTAGGCTGGGGACAGGATTTGGAGACTGTGCCTTCAGGTACAAAGTGATGTGGGTGAGGGAATCACAGGCTGTGGAGTGTCCACAGGGTCCACAGCCCTTCTGATTGCTTTCTTGCTGGTGGCTGGGATCGCTTTACATAGCAGAAGCCACAGAGCCAGCCCTCAATCCCAGGTCTTCAAATCCTAAATTGGGGATCCTTCCGGACAGCTCACTGCCATCCAGCTGACCCAGTTCATCTTCCATGGTTTTGGGGAGAAAGGATAAGAGCCCTGAGTGCCCTGGAGTTGAACATTGTCAAACTAGGCAATGTCAACAGAGTAATGATGTCACTACTGGACAAGGGCACAGGTCAGTGAACAAATCTCGACTGACCCCTGACTATGGGCCAGATGCCGAGCTCCACTCCCTGCACACTAATTGCATTCTGCACGGTCACTGTGCTGGGCAGGGGTCACCTGCCCCATTCTACAGACATGGAAAGTGAGGCAGCACAGGGAGGGTCACTTGCTGGGGACTCACTGTGCCTGGACATTGCTCCACGTTTTCCATCTGCTGAGAGCAGGCCTCTTTCCTCGGGCAGGTGTGTGGTTGGTGGGGAACAGCCAGACCCCGGGGCTGCCCRGGTGTCGCATCCCTCTGCCCGCCCAAAACCTTTTCTTGGAAATGATCCCAGATGTGTGTGCCTTTCCTCTCTGGCCCTTTGAGACCGTCCCCACCCAGGGAAGCCCGAGGCCTGGCTTGGGGCCACTGTCCCCATCTCTGGGAACCATTCCAGGCAAGCATCCTCTCCTCCCGGGCTTTAGTCCCCTCACCTACCCAGAGGTGGCGGCTGGGGATACCACGTGCCTGGTTACCGAAAGAGCTGGGGGCTGCCTGCATCAGCGCTCAGCATGAAAGATGGTGGTGGGTGAATGCACCAGGTGCACACTGGGGACTTGGGAGAAGCTGTTGGGTGCTGTCCAGCTTTCCTGGGGACATGGTATAAAGAAACTGCCCGCTGCCTTCTCCCTCCCTCCCTCCCTCCCTCCTTCTGCCTGCAGGGCTCCATTCAGGTCTGCAGGATAAGCAGAGGCCCCTCTCTGGCTCCAGTGGGCATCCCCAGGAGCCATACCACAGTGCGGCAGGCATGAGCGCCAGGCATGGGGATGTGGAAATTGTGGTCTAACCTGCTCCCACTGCCCCTCTCTGCTGTGCCGCAGAGGACCCCAGAGTTGGGTGCTGCACAAGATGCGCCTCCATCTACCCACAGATGCTGCAAATCCGGGTCCCGAGTGCTGGCTCTGCTTGGGCTCTCCAGGATGTGCTCCAGGGTCCTGCATTCCCTCCAGTCCTCACAAGGGTTCCCCAGGGTAGCTTCCACCCCATTTTACAGCTGTAAACACTGAGGCTGGGAGCATCGGCATGCTGGCCTGTGGTCCTGCATTGGACATGCAGGACTGGGCCCTGAGCCCAGGCTCCCACCCGACTCTGGTGCCTTCTGGCAGTCGGCAGCTGGTGTTGAGACAAACCAAGGCCAGAGCCTGGGCTCTCAGGAGAAGGACCACCCTGTGGGGCTGAAGCACCTGCAGCTGCCTTGGACCCAGAGTGTGGCCTGCATCAGGGCCCAGAGGCAGAAAGGGAAGAGGTGTGAAATCTTGCTTTGCTGTCTACACCTCAGGGCTTCAGGCAAGTCCCTCCCCTCCACGGGCCTCATGTCTGCACCCCTGAGATGCATGCAATGGCGGCCAGCCCTGGAGCTGAGGGGCAGCTGTCCTGGAGCACGCTAGATGCCCCATCCATGCTCCCYGCCTCCTGCCAACACCTGCTCTCTGAACTCTAGGCCTGCACACCATTGGGTCACACAAGGCCATCTGTCTGGGTGGCAGTGACTCAGTCCTGTCCCTCTCTGAGGAAATGCAGCCAAGGGACAAGAGCGAGGAGCCAGAACGCCTCCGTCTGAGTCACGGTACTGTTGCTTCCTCGCTGTGTGGTTTAGCCAGTCTTAGCATCCCAGGGCCTCGGTTTGCTGGGTAATAATAGGACCTACCCACAGGGCTGCAGTGAGGACTGAGGGTGAGAAATGGACTTCCACCACCACAGCTCCCAAGTAGTGGCAGCTATTAAAAATGCCACAAGTCTGATCATCACTATGTGTTTGTGTTGTATCCTTAGGTTTTGTTCGAGGCTTATTCACGTAGCTATATTTAATCTTCTTCTATGTTTGCTTTAACATTTCTGCAAAGAAGGCTGCCCATCATGCATCTCTGAATAATGTCCTATGGGAAAGTGCATCCCAGAATTCATTGTCAGGAAAAATGTCATCTTCCTCCTTGTGGACAACTTGAGCTATGCAAATCATCTGAGTTCCCTTGCTTCCCTTGATGCTGGGAAGCTCATGTCAAACGTAGATCTCAATCGTGGTAGCAACTGTAGCTGGCTTATTTGTTTCCATCCTTTTCCTGTTGGCTTTCTGTGAGATGTGTCCCTCTTATGTCTTTATATCCACTATGGAAAAAATTCATGTGGGGAAAAATTTTATTATTATTTTATTATTATTTATTATTTTATTATTTTGTATAGGATTGAGGTAGTTGGTCTAATACATCTGGCTATCCAGTTTCTTGAGCAACTTAAGTTTGGGAGGGGKCAGAGCGGCACATGTTCAAGGGACCTCAGAGACTACATCTTTCRTTGGAGAAAATGAGGCCCATTATGGTTATTTATTACATACTACTAGCATTTTTTTTTTTTGCTTGCTGGAAGCAGTGAATGTAGGATGATCCATGTACACAACACATTTGTCAGAAGATGCGTCATCATAATTATAACAAAAGAAAGTGTTTGCAAGGTCTAACTGATTGAAAAAGCACATTATAAAGTGATCAAACAACAAAGCAACGTATCTTACATAATCCCACGTATCCACGGAGTGTGTCTAGCTACCTGCCTGCCTCTAGGTCACAGTGGGTTCTCTCTGGGTGGCAGGGTTACAGGTGGTTTTATTTTTCTGCTTTGTGCTCACCTACATTTTAGACTTTTCCTATAGTGAGCTTGGATGGCTTTTGCACTGTTAATTGTGTGTGGTTTTTTTTTTTTTTTTCCTATTTAAGGAAATGTCTTTCAGGGAAGGTTTGAAGCCTTGGCCACCATGCAGGGGAGCAGGCATGGAGTCAGCCGGYCCTTTGGGACAGGACCACGGAAAGGGAGAGGTGCAGAGGGACCAAGTGACTTTTTCACACAGGGCACAAAGGAAGTGATCAGAGACGAAGACCTGAGAAGGAGGACCAGGGCAGCCACAGCCCTGGAAGTGGCAGGTCCAGCACCCACCACGAGACCCTTTCTTACCTCTGCACAGTAACCCTTTGAGAGAGGATCCCTTGTCCTGTTTTGCAGATGAGGAAACAGAGGATCAGAGAAGGTATGTGGCTCACATAAGCAGGAAGCAATGGAGTGATTTAACCCAGGGGCATGTGACTTCAGAGGCTGGTTTTTTTTTTTTTTTTTTTTTTTTTTGGTTGGCGGGGAGCAGTACTGGGAATTGAACCCAGGGGTGCTCTACCACTGAGCTATATCCATAGCCGTTTTTAAATTTTATTTTGAGACAGGGTCTCACTAAGTTGCTGAGGCTGTCCTCTAACTTGTGATCCTCCTGCCTCAGCCTCCTGAGCAGCTGGGATCACTGAGATTACAGGTATGCACCACCACCCCTGGCCAGAGGTTATGCTTTTAATCACTTCATTTTATTTCCACACCCAGAAGGGTGTATTGGGGGACAGGGAGAGAGAGAGAGACAGAGAGAGAGAGAGAGAGAGAGACAGAGAGAGAGAGAGAGAGAAGGGTAGGTATCAAGACAAGGGTGGAAAGGAGAGACTGATAGAGAGAAAAAATGAGAGAAAGATTTCAAAACTTCCCATCCCACTCTTTCTGGACAGAGGTGGAAAAGGCCCAACAGYGGGTACTTTAGGTCAGCCCCTGCCCCCGCCAAGTGAAGGCCTCCGCAGGCAGGCGGAAGAGTAACGAGAATCAGAGAATCATACAAGGACAGGGCCGCCCAGCCCTGGCCTGAGCAGCACAGCGTGCCAACCCCTGCTGCAGGAGGTGAGGTGCAAGGAGTCACCTCCAAGGTGAGCCAGTGACTTGGGGGTTCTGAGAAGAAACCCAGCTGGAGAGTCCCTCAGATGTTGGTGTGCCCCAAGGGCAGGGACYCCCGAGGGATCCATGAACAGGGCTGAAGCACCATCAAATCAGTGTGTCAGGAGTGCACAGGGCAGGGGGTTCAGGCTTTGTCCCCAGCGGTGAGTGCGGGGAGCCCTTGCAGAGCAGCCTGGATGGATGTCGGGGTCACCGTCACCCCGTCTGCAGCACCCATCTTCATGAACAGCATGTGACTGTCTCAGGAGGGACCTGGCCCTGGTGTCTAACAAACTCCACAGCAAACCCGAGGACTCTTTTTAGCTGGGTGCTGTGGTCTGGAAGGTCTGCCAGGTCCTTGCTTTGGGAACTTAATCCTCACATTTATGTGTCGATGGGACCTGGAGGTGAGGCTTTTGGGAGGTGATGAAGGTCATGAGGGTGGGACTCCCGTGATGGCATTAGTGGCTTATGAGAAGAGACCCGAGCTGGCAGCTTGTTCTGCCTCACTATTGGGTCCCCTCCAGCCACTTTAGGATGTAGCAGGAGGTCCTCACCAGATGGTACTGGACTTCTAGCCTCCAGAACCAAATTTCTTTTCTTTAGAATTGACCTCGCCTGCGATATTCTGTTGTAGCAACGTAAAACAGATACTGGGTAACCTGGAGCAAGTTAACCCACTTCTCTGTGCCTTGGTTTCCTTGTCTTTCAGATGGGCACAATGATGGCCCCTTGCTCACGGGGTGTCTGGAAGACAGCTCAGCTCAGAGCTTGGCACACTGTAAGTGCCTAATAAGTGCTCATGGTGATTGCTATTACTGTTGGTCTGATCCTTACATTTCACAGAGAGGAAGACTGGATACTGAGGGCTTTAGACTGCTGCTCATTYGGTGTGTGTGAGGCCTCAGTTTCCTCATCTGGAAGCAGTGGTGGCCRTGGGCCCTGGGTGCCCTGCGGTGTGGGCACTGTGGCCAGGAGTGCATGCTCCCTGCGGGGCGGGGATCAGGGGGTCTGAGGCCCCCGACCTACCTTCGTTGCTCTCGCCAGGCGGGTGGTAGAAGGACAGTCCCAGGGAGATGATGGCCGCAATTTCCAGGATGATGAGCGTCACATCCTGCAGGGCTTCCCACACGAGCTGCAGGAAGGTTTTTGGCTTCTTTGGAGGTATAAAGTTTTGCCCAAAAATCTGCTTCCTCTTTTCCAGGTCTGGGGCGGTGCCTGGTAAACCTGTGGACAGAGTGCAGAGAGGTGGGCAGGGGTACCCTGGAGGGACGCATGTGTGTCCCCAGGAACTGTGGGGCGGAGTGGGGYGGGGGGCTGGCAGGAAAGTTCTGGGCACCTGACCCAGGGGCCCAGCACTTCTGTGTGCTTCAGGCTCTTGGTGGCTCCTGTCAAATGCCAGAGACACCAGGCAGTGGGCCAAATGGTCCAGCGAACACCAGGGCTCCGTCTTGCCTGCCCTAAATGTGCTCAGAGCACCGACATCAGCCCCCAGCTGGGCAGAGCATCTCCCACGGGCCTCTGTTACCATGAAGGACCGGGTACCTCCTGTGGTTTCGAAGACTGCACTAGAGTGGGAACAGGAGGCTGTGCTGGGTGCCCCTGCACCATCCCCAAGGTGAACAGGGGTCAAGAAGAGCCATGAGAACTGCATAAGATAATCCATGCAGTCCAGGACAGGGCCAAGAGCAAGGCAGGAGGTGACTTCCCGGGGCCACATACGGAAGGTGCTGGAGGAAGCCACGTCTGGTGGGTGGGACATGCTCAGCTGGGCTGGACCAGGGCAGCGAGGGGCAGCCAGATGTCGGCCTCGTCATCCAGGGCCTGGATGGATGGCGCAGCCAGGTTCACTGCCAACTCACTAGTTCTTCATTCCCAGATAGTTCCTCCAGCCTCAAGAGCCCCACCCCACCTCCTTCCTGCTGAGCAATCGTGGGAAGCATCTCATTATCTTCTGGTAACTTCTGATCTATGTCTGTGGCCCTAGCGGTCACCACTGAGCCTCACCCCATCGCCAGGCAAGTCCCTGGCTGGGAAAGGCTTCCCGTGCYCTCTGTCTGCTGGCCCCCCACAGAGGTCAGCCCATGGCATGTTGCTGTGTCGTTTTGTTTCTCTGTGACAGCTGTGCTGTCTCACTGCTCCTGCCTTTGTTCCTGTGGGCCAGGGACATCCTGTCCTGCCATCTACACCAGGTACCGTCCTCAGCCTCTCTGAGCAGCCTCCCCTCCACCCCAGGTGGACAGCGGCCGCTGCCCTGACCTCTCCCCGGCCCTGATCACAGCAGGGCTTATGGGTTTGCTGGGCCAGTTGGTTTTGGGGGCAAAGACTGGTCTGATGCCTATTTCTCAGAGCCTGGCACTGGAGGTCATGGCGGAGAACGTAGCATGAATGGCTCTGTCAGCTGGGCATGCTCAGCCACATCTCCCCTGTGGCTTGATGACAGCTGGATGGGGACAGGGAGGGGCACAGACCTCTCACTGGACCTCAGGCCTCCAGCCCACTACTGAGAAGGGAGAACTGGAGGAATCCTGGGGGGCTGGAGTGCTCAGTTGTATTCAGGGGAACTTASTGGATGAATATATGACATGGCGCTAGGACTCTAAGTCTGTCGTTCATTGGCTCATTCATCCATCCATTGGCTCAATCTGTGTCTCTTTCTTTCTGGTACCAGGGGTGCTTAACCACGGATCCACACTACCAGTCCTTTTTATTTYTTCTTTTGAGACAGGGTCGGGCTAAGTTGCTTAGGACCTCGTTAAATGGCTGAGTCTGGCCTTGAACTTGCAATCCTCCTGCCTCAGCCTCCTGAGCTGCTGGAATTACAGGCATGTGCTGCTACCCTCAGCTCAGTCCCTATGTCTGGAGCCCCTGCTKTGGCCAGCTTGGTGCTGGGCACTGGGGAGAGGTGTGCATGGGACATCCCCGTGGCTCATGGACACAGGAGCTCAGGGAGCTGGGAGTCTGGCAGCCTGGGGTTCAGGGRTGCAGGGCAACAGGCATGTTCTGTGTCTGAATTCCAGGTGCAGAGCCTCCTCTGAGTGACTCCTCTGAGCCACAGTGAGTCCTCCATTGGGGGCCCGAGAGCCAGGGTGCTGAGACCCCAGGGGAGGACTGCATGTTCCCARGAGGCCCTGCACCAGCCTCGCCTGCAGCATGGACACTCTGGACAGCTCTTGTCCTGCTGTGCAGTGAGAAGAGGGAAGCCACAGCCCAGGTGCGCCCATTTTATGGATGGGGGCCTGAGGCTTTCCAGACACCAAGCTGCTGCCTGGGGCTACTCTTGGGCTGTGCAAAAGGCCAGCCCTGCCTGCTCAAAGCATGGGGAGACGTCTCCATGGTCCCCTGYTGCGGTGCCCATCAGGGGTGACACCTGTATTTGAAGCAGAGGTTCTAGAAGCTGCAGGAATCTCCCTCCACGTGTCCGATTGCGCCCACGGCCAGGGGCTGAACTTCCTTGGGCTTTATACTTTCCACTAAAAGCTCTGATTCCTTYAGATGCCCAGAGGGGAGAAGCCATCATAGTTCTGGTCACCATGGTGTAAGAGCTCCAGGTCCCTCTCTGAATGTGTTTTAGATGGGGGAGGGAAGCTTGGGAAGGTGGTGGACCTCTGATGGAGAGGCCACAATGGCCAACACTAGCCTGGTGTGGCAGTGTGCTGTGCCTCAGGCCACTGACTTCCCTTCTCTGAGCCTCAGTTTCCTCATCTTGCTAACGGGGGAGTTCACCATGATGGGTGAGTCCCCAGGATCTTGGGGTTSCAAGGTTCGCAGGCCCTGAAGTGGTCCTGCTGGGCTCTGTTTTTACCTTTAGGGGGCTCTTTGTGAGGTCTAGTGTAAATAAAGGGCTTAGATCAGAAAAAGATGGGTGGGGGGCAGCTCCACTTCTCTCCCCACCGCCCTGATGGGCAGAGTCTCTGAATCTTGTGAGGCTCTCGGTTCAGATGCGCTGGAGTCTGGAGTGTGCATGGTTGGTGGGTCGTGCTCTCGGTTCTGAAAATCAGGCCACAGCTCTGGGAGGTCTGTCCTGCTGGGGACCCACACACTAGGCCCTGCCATCTGGGGTCCTGGGACAGCAGACAGGGTGGGGACTCCAAATTCGAATAGCCGTAGGTGCTGCGCAGGTTTGGGGAGTGAGAGGAGTAGCTGGGTGGCAGACAGTGGGGAGTGGTGGGGACTGGGGCAAAGGGAACACTGACGCTTCTAAAGGGGCAGATGTTTCTAAGGGCTCCYGTGGGGGAGTATGTACCCAGGGAATCAGATCTTCCAACCTAGGAGAAGGAGGACACCTGGAACTTGACAGAACATCTCCCCAGTGAAAATATTTCAGAGCCAAATACAACAAATCTATGGGTGGGATTCTGCCCRAGGTTGCCAGTCTGAGACCCCCCAAGGCTGTGGGTCGGAAGAGGGGGAAGGCTGGGAGGGGAGGGGCCAGGGCATGGAAACTTCTCTCTCCCTTCCTCCTCTTTTCTGGGCAGCACCCCCTCTAACACCAGGCCCTGTCCTGTTCCCCATAGGCTTCTGGGGGCCTCCTGGGTTATTCCCMTGGTCAAAACTAACAGGAAGTCTTCACAACGACAAATTCCCCAGAATATACACCCTCCAGTGGTTAGGCTCACAGGGTCTCCGAGATGGCTCATGGTAGGTTCCTGGCATCTCACTCCTGGGCCACGTTGGAGTTGGGGATGCCAAGCCCCAAGAACTCAGGTGGGTTTGGACTTGGATATCCCGTGTTCAAATCCCAGGTCTGAGTTACTTTGAGTAAGTGATTTTTGCCCCTTGGTCCTCAGTTTCCTCATCTGTAAAACACAGGCAACAGCAGGGCCCACTTCCCAGGGTTTGGGTGCAGCTGCCGTCTTCACGTTCCATGTAAGGGCTGGACAGGGTCCCCACATGGGACATGAAGGGATGGTCTAGAAGCGGGGTTGAGGGGTGGGTGACTCTGGAACCTTGCAAGCAAAGACAGTGGCTTTGAGAACCTACAGGTGGGGCGCTCGCCTGGTCCAGCCCACCCTCAGTGTCCTTCCCAGGACTCTCAGTCTCCCCACCTTCCTGCTAGATGACCGACATGCCTATTTTGGGGAGCAGACACAACAGAGACTGGGGTGAGGGATGAGTGGTGTCAGAGATTCAATTTATATTGTAGAGCATCTCGCCACTTAGCATATTCAAAATTAATACAGTGTGTCCAATGTTGTTGGACACACCAGCAAGGGCCTAAAAATTCAGGAAAAATAATGCACAGGACAGAGGCTGCATGGGGTGTGGGTTTTCAAGTGAGAATTCTTATTTATTTATTTATTTTTATTTTGTGGTACTGGAAATTGAAYCCAGCGGCTCTTCACCACTGAGATTCATTCCCAGACCTTTCYATTTTTTTTTTTTTTWWAATTTTGAGATAGGGCCTCAGTAAGTTGCTGAGGCTGGCCTGGAACTTGTGATCCTCCTGCCTCAGCCTCCCAAGTTGCTGGGATTACAGGCATGCACTACTGTGCCTGACTGAATTTTCTCTCTCTATATAATTACAGAGCACTGGGCGGGGAGTTGAGTTTGAGTCTTGATTCTACCACTGACTTGTGAGTGAAGCAAACCCAAGGCCCCCCAGAAAGGGTGAGCCACCTACTTAAGGTCACACAGCAAGGAAAGATAGAGACACACCCTTGGAGACTCAGTTTTCTTATCGATAAAATGGGAGGAAGTAACCCCTACGCTGTGGTGGGCCACTGTCAGAGGAATGGCTGTGAATACTCTGGGTAAACGGTGGGAACACCATCTGTGTGCCTTCATGGGAAAAAAAAAAATGTCAGCTGTTGTCCAGATTCTTCTACTGGGGCCAGAATTTGGGTGTCCTGTCATTTATGTAAGAGAAGAAAGGCACAGCTCCCAGAGTGGGGGTTTCRGTTGTACAGAATCATTTGCTGTGATGGCTCTTGCTGTCACTGGACATTTGAGGCGTGTACCTCCAGCTGTCCTGGACACTGATTGGGTTCTCTCCCAGTCTCTGAGCCCTCGCCCTGTCACCCCCGGTCTTCTGTTTCCAGTGAGTGGCTCCCTCTTCTCAGTCATTTCAGACTCAACTTTGATGGCTGCTAACAGCTCTCCCAGGCTGTCAKAGGGGTTTTTTGGTTGGCCCAGTATTTCTTAAAAAATGGGAAATTTTCACAAACATAAGAAATGCAAGCACTTCTAAATAGAAGTCCTCACGTTTGGCTCAGGGAGTCACGTGC